GCAGCAGACTAAAGAGCTCATCTTTCTATCTCCTCCAATCATCATGCTCCCTGCAGTGCAGCACATCTGATTGGCTCCTTGTGTTGCTTCTACCTACCACAGTCTGAGCTCTGCTTTACAGGAAAAATAATTTTTCAAATGTATGAAGGAATACAGAGCTTTTATGTCTATGCATGTGTCTTTTTTATCTGCCCGAAGCTCAGCTTTAATGTTCCAGAACCATTGTGTCAGGGAAGGCTGAGTGGTTTACTTCCATATAGGGGTATGCAGAATCTGGCGGTGCTCAAGAAATGTATTGACAAATGTATTGACAAGTATGGTTTGTATTACTTTTTGAGGACATTGAGGCATAATTTACAAGTTTTCAGTCTGCAACTATGTATATGATATCCCTCACCAATGTCCTAAAGTTCTTTAATAGAGGACAAGCCCGGAATACATGAAGAAGTGTTCTGGGACATCTCCAGCAAAGGGGTAAGTAGACATGTACGCCGGCAAAAAACGAAAATAAACACACTACACATTTTGAAAAAGTCCTTTTATTGCCAAAAACCCCCCAAAGAGTCAGTTTTTGACAATTCCTTTATTATTTTTAAAAATAAATAAATGGATCCATCGATGTAATCCAGTGTCAATCACGATAAAAGACACTCACCGAAATAAGAAAAAAATCCCACCGCGTGACGACCCGTCCGAGCCCAATGAGGACCACAATATCATTCGGGAGCTCCCGAATGCAATTCGGGTCTGGGAGCGGAGGTGTCATAATACTATTCATAGGACACCTCGGCTCCCAGACGCGAATGGCATTCGGGAGCTCAAGGAATTGTCAAGAACTGACTTTTCTTTCAATTAAAGGACTTTTTCAAAATGTGTGTGTTTATTTCCGTTTACTTTTAACCCTTTAGTGAATGGGTAGTGGTACAAGTACCCCTTACTCATTCAAAAAGGGGGGGGGCAATGGCATCTGGGTGTGCCCTTAATCAAAGGGGTACCCCGATGCAAATGAGCCCCCTGGCTGCAGACCCCCACAACCACCTTGTGGGGAAGAGGCCCTTGTCTCCATTGAATTGGAACTGTGCTCCGGATAAGGGTCTGGTAGGAATTTTTCCCCTCCATTTTAGAGTGTGGGGTTCCCCCTTAAGATTCTTACCAGACCTAACACTCCTACCAGACCTAAAGACCTAAATGTATTTTTTTTTCTTTAGTCTAATGTCACTTTGCTGCAACAAAAAATAGTTCATAATTAATATTCGTACGTACTACCGCTAACGAAAATATAGATTTTTTTTAAGTTGATGCTTAACACAATAAAACTTAATTCGGGAAAGAAGTTCAGATGCATCCAAATTTTTTGTTTTCGGACATCAGACAATTTTGTGTATAGCATATGCACATGTACGTGGATACTGAAAAAATGTTATGGATCATGGCGGGGCTCGCTACCATCTGGAGGGGTGTTTATATCCAGGTTTTTGGATACATTTTAAGATTGAATAGCTGTGTTCATAATAAAGCATGAACAAGGTGTGTAGTATTCCAGAGTGGTGTTCAACAGTTCATAAAAAGTATGCTTACCTGGCTGTGCTTCTAGGTAAGTTTCCTTAAACTGAGGTGTGGATGGGCGCAACCAGAGCAATGACTAATGCTTATATGTTTGTGGGGAGTAAGATCAAATAAGACTTAACAGAGCCAAATAGCAACTGTGTTTAGAACCACAATGTTATGTAGTTTCTAAAAGGTTGATAAACTGCAGATTGCATATGGGACTTAGCTGATGCACAAAGTATCCAAAACAGCAGAAGATAACACCTCTCTGTGAACAAAGATAAGGTTAGTAATATGTTAATCCATCTCAAGTGCACAGAACATTACATTTTGCGCTTCCCGTTGTGCTATTACTTTGAGGACAAATAATGTTACAATCAGTAGGAAAACTTATGTTAACACTACCATCTAGAATGCTTATCATGAACTTATAACTCACTGTACACTTTTGTTAGTGGCATTGTATAGGCACTTGTTAGATTAACCTCACGTTACTTTGTGTATTGTCTTTTTCTTTTTATAAATAAAGAAAAGTGAGGATGGGAGAGAAAATGAGAGCAGAGAATTATACCATTAGTCTTCAGCATCTTCTAGCTTCTGTCTCCCTGTAATATGTTTTTATCTATTTTTTACAGCAAGGTGTTTTCATTAAGTTCATTATCTTTCTTACATAAGTAGCAATGGCTCTTGTTTTGAAAAGTGAAGACTGAAGGTGCTATAGGCATTCCCTGAAAAAAGATCATGAAGTTTGATCTTTGCCACCCATCACTGGTGCAATGGTCATGATCAAGTTTTGGCTGCATCTGTTATTATTATACACGATTTTTATAGCGCCAACAGTTTGTGCAATTCAAGACAAGATGGTTAGGAGGGCCCTGCCCTTGAGAGCTTACGATATAAAAGGGAGGGGCAAGTCATACAAAAGGTAATAGCTGTGTGGGGATGAGTTGTTTGAGAAAGTAATGGTTCAGTGGTTAGGCAGATATGGGATAGGCCTAAAAACAGACAGAGTAAGGGTTGGGATAAGGAGCTCCAGAGAATGGGAGAGACTCTACAGAAGTCGTGGAGGTGAGCATGGGAGGAGTTGATGAAGGAGCAAGAGAGCAGCAGGTCTTGGGAGGAGCAGAGGGGACGGTTAGGGTGATACCTTCAGACAAGGTTGGAGATATAGCTGCGGCAGAGTTGTGGATGGCTTTGTGGGTGGTTGTTAATATTTTGAATTCTATTCTTTGGGTGATGGGAAGCCAATGGAGGGATTGGCAGATACTGAGTGGTTGGTGAGATGGATGAGTCTGGCAGCAGCATTCATTGCAGACTGAAGGGGAATAGCCTGCGTAGGGGAAGGCCGATAAGGAGGGAGTTCCAATAGTTGAGACAACATGGTCAATATTTTGTCACTTATGGCTTCTCTAGTTCCTCATTGCATCAGCATGAATATATCTATTCTTATTCATGGAAAAATTACACTTTAATCACAGTAAAACCAAACCTGATTATTGTCTAAACTTCAGAATGATGTATTCCGGTGGGCATTGTCCTGCAGAGGAAGAAAGACTACTCTCCAATGACACAGGCAGTTGGGATTTGTTACTCATCATATTTTATCCCAAAACAAGTTTAATCTCCTCTCTGGATTGCAGGAGCCCATGTGTATATACCCAACAAAAGAAATTTCCTTCAGTTATCCAACTGTCCTTAAATAAATGACACAACAGGAAGTGGAAAATATGATGTTCTGTGTAATTCAACTGGATTAACAGATTTCTGATCTAGTTTCTTTTGTTCATGGAAGGTGTTCTCTTCTGATGTTTCAGATACTTTGTACGTCAACAGCTAAATCCCGCTTGCATTCTGCAGGTGATCACCATGTATTGTTCAATGGTTTACTCATCGGTGAATATACTTTGCTTGTGGCGCATCTAATTCAATTCCGCTGAACACATGTGGTAAGGGTCAAACACTCCACAATTATGTCAAAGATACAAAACCTTTTACAAGATGTTAGTATTGACACTGCTCGCAGTGACTGGAAAGATCATCGCTTTCCCTGATACAAACTTATGCTGAGTTAAAAACATGGATGACATGAGTTTGGGAAAATTGCACCAGCAATAAAAATCCTAACATCATCCTCAGAAAAGGATTCAGAGGGGCAACTTTGAAAGGAAATTTCCATCTTTTAGAAAAACAGATAATAAATGCACTTTCTTCTTGCGATGTGACCATGTTTCATATTACACCCGGATTATGAGTGTAAAAAGGAACATGGTCAAAAAAGTTAGCTAAGTCGCAAATAAGGCAAGATGTTGCTGCAAATTAGGACAACATAGAATTTCTTATTTATTGGTTGTTCCTAAATCATCAACAGTGGAAAACATTAGCTTCTGATGCTTATATTTAAAGCTGAACTGCAAGCAGGTACAAAAATACCAATGCCAGACTGATGGACTCAATGGAAAATTGAATGCAAAGTATATGTAGAACTCAATCATTATAATCTTGTATAAGCTTTAACAAGTTAATGTAATATTTTAAGTCAATACTAATATATTTCAAACTAATAGCTTTCATGACGTATTACCAGGTGACCGGACAGAGAGCTGACAGCATGGCTCTAACACAGCTGCCAAACAATTGATTACAATAAGGCACACATTAAAGTATTGGTTTATGTTAAAAAATCTGAGAGTTTAATGTCACTTTAACCCTATTTTTGTATCACTCGGCTGTAGATCCTCAAATTATTTCTGAATTCATGTTGAAACTTTTGTCCCTCATGGTCCCTGTGTGTGTTGTAAAGCAGCCACCGCTCCAAGCTCTCTCACGTGATGGACTACAATTTCATGTTTAGTATACCAATTTGTATTGAGATTGTAGTCCATTGTGGTAGTAAGCTTGAAGCGGTGGCTGCTTTACAACACACACAGGGACCATGGGGAACAAAAGGCGTAGCCTGTCTGACCCTACCACAAGGCCACAAAATAAAAGTACATCCTCAAGTTGTCTGGGCTGCCCTATATTAACCAATCAGATCCTTGATTTTACAATATAGGGGAATACAAGGGAGAATGGAATTGGTTATTATAAGGCAGTACAGGCTGGGACTTCATTTGAACATTTTAACATTGACACATAAAATTTCATAACAAATCAGCAATGAATGGACTTTTTTTCTGAACTGCCCCTGCTTTGATGAAATACTCTTACTATTACATTTATTGTAGGACAGCGGTGGTATTAATACATTGAACCGTGTTGATCTGGTGGTAGAGTGGTGATAAATACGACATCTTTCAATATTTGGGATGATTGGAGAGCCCCGAGGAAGGGATGGGTAGTGTTCAGGTGGGTGGTATTCTGGCAGATCAGGTGTGGATGGGTGTGTCAGTACACAGTACATATAGGTGGGTATATTCAATGAAGATGAAGGATACGGAGGATTCTACTGAACAACTGAGATTCATTATTACTCAGGTAAGATGCTGAAAAGCAGAACTTCAATGATCTCTTTCTAGTTTAGCATTATGGTTATCATTTGTAGGCTAACTCTCTAGGTTAGATGCTCAAGTTTATATTTGATTATTCTTTATCGTTTTACAAAATTATGCTGAAAAATACTTTAAATGATATTACTTACTAACGTAGTTATAAAAGGGCAACTGTGGTAAACTGTTCTTTCTCCTCCAATACAGCCATCATGTATTTGCCATTTGCCACTGTCATCCTAATATTTGCTGTACTCACCCCAAAGACTCGGAGCTATGATGCCGCTACACCAGGATGTCACATTCACCGTAAGTTAGTTCTGGAGCCAGATAAGGTGCCAGGTGAATTATAGCATATATATTAAGATCTATAATGCAGAATATAGATAGAAAAAAAGAAAATAAGCTGAAAGCTACCTGTGGCCAGCCCATTGAAGATGAACAAAAAAATAAAGTGACATTTATTTGGTAAAATAAACATTCATAAGGAATAAATCAGCTAAAATAATTGCACAAAAATGAAGGTTTTTTGATTTAAATGAGTAAGTTTTAGTAGCAAAATGTACTAATATATTGTACTAATCTTAGCTACATAGTCGGTACAATGTCAATTAAAACAACAAAAACAAGAAACTGTGCATCCTCAGAATTATATACCTGCAAACGATCCAGAGGAAGGCAAAACAAAAAACAAATGAAAATCAATTCCTTCCTGTTACTCATAAATAATTAGAAAACTCCCTGGATCAATATTATACAATGTTATTTTTGAATGATCTGACTCTTAAAGCGATACAAGAGTATAAGACTATATAAGTTTTTATTCTTTTTACCCTACAGCATTTAATGTCACTATAACAAGTGATCGTAAAGGGACTTGCAGAGGGACGCAGTTTATAAATGCATGTGTCGGTCATTGTGAATCCAGTGCCTTCCCATCCAAGTATTCAGTGTTAGTGGCCAGCAGATTCAAACACAACATAACATCAGTGTCGCAGTGCTGTACCATCAGCAAAGTGGAGAAGGTGGGTGCCTGTAACAATCAGAGAAATATGTATTACAAAGCAGTGATAGTGTAATTATGAGGAGCATTTGTAACACTCATTTCAGTGCTTTTTTTTTTTTTTTAGAAATTTGATTTCTTTTTTTTGTGGAACAGTAAAACACATATCTGTGTGGTACAAAGTGTTGGAAATACAACAGCATATACACGGATGATATGTTTGAGCTGTAGATGGCGCTGCAGTGCAATGTTAGTTTTCTATATGCATGCTTATCTATGGTACACAGGAAGTTTTCCTATATATATGTTTGCTACACAATGCTGTATACACAGATGCAGACATCTCAACTCTCCCGGATGTTTCGGGAGTCTCCTGCTATTGGATAGCGGCTCCCGAACAACCGGGAGAGAAAAATGTTCTCCCGGAAAGGTTTACTCGATCCTTCCCCCCAATACAGATCACCAGGCACAAGAATGTGCTTCATAATCTGGCTTTTGATAGCTGAAGCATGAAGTGCTGAGAGTAGTGCTTCATGCTTCACTAATCACAGAGCAGATCGAGGTCTGCTTCCACTCTCCATCCTGACACTGTTTACCATGGTCCCAGACCCCCGAGACCACGGTATGGAGTGCAGGGAGGGGGCGGGCAGCACAATGGTGGCTAATACAAATGATCTGGGTGGGCTGTACAGCTTGTAGTTGTAGCAGCCGGCCCTGCCTGACGTCATTGGTTGCTAGGTTGCCAGCAGTCCTAGCTGTCAAAGACTGAAGCAGAGGGTGGCATGTGCTGGGTTATTTCTGGAAATGGATTCACCAGCCTTGGAGGCTGGTGTATCCACTGTCAGCCAGCCATAACTCAGCGCAGGTCAGCAATCGTGGTCCGGACAGAACCACCACTTGGTCTGTTCCATCTGGCGGACCAACCACCACTTGGTCCGCCATTTAGTGACCCGTGCTATACTCCATTGCACCAATGCACCATTTTCTTTTCCCTTTCTCTCTCCCTCTTCCTCCTCTTTTCCACTGCAACCATTTTCGTAGAGTGTAGGCAACGCAACTAATACGCACATTTCAGCGTGTTGCGCTGCTTTTTTCTTTACCCCATCCCCAGTTTCAGGTTCACTAACATCCAAAAGTTCCCACGTTTGAAAATCAGTGAAACAAAGAAAAAATTAAAATACACATCAGTTCTCCGTCATGCATCCAAAGCATTCAATTAACCAGTTAGTCATGCTCAACTTTTGTTACACTTCATACCTAACTTTTTTATTCCTTGTTGTGGATATTGTATATGTTGTTTACACTGTTTAAATATGAATTGTTTTAGCTTGCAATAGGAGTTTTGTCATATTTTAAGTTGTCAGTATAAAAATTTGCTCCGTCAGTAAATGTTTAATGTCTTGATCAGTAAAAAAAAGTTGTGGGGAGTTGGCAACCCATCCGCCATCTTTGGGCAACCACTGATTATGTCACTACAGTGCGCATGCATGTTGCACTGTCCAGGCACCGTCCTCCATTTTTGTCATCTTACAAATAGTGGCCTTTAGCCGGGAGTATATACTGCATTGCGCATGTGCCGCAGGCAGTTTATACAAAATAAAAACCCGCTAGCAGCAAGAGGAAGTGTTTTGGCAGAGAACATTGCATGATGGGAATTTATCGAGGCTGGAGCAGACAGAATCTGTTGCCTATGGCAATCAGTCAGCTTCTCTCTTTCATTTTCAAAGCTTAACTAAACAAACTGAAAATAGAAGCTGATTGGTTACTATGGGCAACTGCTCCAGATTCTGTCAGCTCCAGTTTTGATAAATTCCCCCATGTCTGTTCTGCCAAAAACTCTACCGTCTGGCAGTTTTTTCTTTTTTGACTTAAATTCAGTTTTCAATTAGTTTTATTTCGTGGTATCCCAATGGTTGACATCTCAGCACACTTACCATTACTTGCCAGCAGATGTCACCAATGACTGTAACTCAGCCACACTGCTGTCTTTTATAACATACAATATGGTGCACATAATATTACTATTGGGAATCCTAATGGAGCAAGGCAAGAATGATAATAGCATAGTTCTATTACTGTCTTGTATCTATGATTATTTTATTCAGCCATTGTAAAATGCCCACCCCCATGCCATTCTACATAAACATAATGGGACATTAGGCAAAGTATGCGTCTGATGATTCTCCATAGACTCTGATCTACACGTAATGTGCTAGTACACGGTGCTGGCAGAATGAACTGATGGGGACATTTGTTTTGCAGATTGTGGCAACACGGGGACCTTTGCAAGTAACGTTTACACATTTACCTAATTGCTGCTAACAGAAATGTAGCAGATGCCATTTCTGATCTGTTTCTGTCTGAAACACTAGCAGCCTGGCTGTCATGCAGATGCAATAGCTTAGAAATTGCCAAGTCACTTACCTTGAGGGCCCATTCACACCACTTCAGAGCAGTAGCGGCTGAAACACACAGCAATCGCTCACAAAACTTCCCCCTTCATTCTGGAGTGGGAGGGGGCTTGGCGGTGCAATTAAAGTCAATGGCACTGCAGCCACGCCCCCACCCGCGCGCAGTGTGTTTAGACTTCGTTCCTCAGTACTCTGCCTGAGATGATGGGGCTCCCAAAGGGTTCTGGCCATAAGAAAGGAACTGAATTGAGGGTCCACTCATGTAAGAGTGGGGGTCAGGAGTACTTCCCTAGTGTCTGAGATCTGGAGGTGCCTCCTGATTTTAATGGGTCTAACTGGTCTGGTCATGGGCTGAGAAGGCAGAGAGCCTGCGGTGTCAAGCACCCCCTGGGAGTGGCGCCTTGGGGTGCTCGAGTAACACTATGGGTTTGGGACCCCACTGTGCAAACGGTACTAAGGTCTAAGGTCACAACAACACCAGGTTTCTCTGCACCATGCCTCTTGGGCTATGCCTTTTGGCTAAGACCAAGGGTCATTTTTTTTATACCGAGTCGCATGGCCTAGCCATTGAGTTGCAGTTTGACACTTATTTATTTGTCTCCACTCTTTGTGCACTTCACTTTTCATGTATTTTTCACTCTACAAGGATGGAGGATGTGGGTCTTTGGGACTGCCCTGAAGTCTAGGCGGAGGATGTGTGGCCATAAGTTTCTTTTCTCCCCTGAACTGGGGTTCTCTCTTCGGGAGAGCCCCCAACCTATTACTCGGTGGTCAGCTTTGGCTGACCCAGAGGAATGGGTCAGTGTGGCTTTGGCTAGCTGGACAGTGCTCTGCCCCTGTCTGGAGCCTTGCACCCCAGGGAGTCAGGGATGGAGCCTTATCTTTTCAGGGATGGACCATGAGACACACCCTAGTGCACTTTTTTTTGTTAACTATGGTCTTTAGATCTAGACTAGCCCTTAGGAAGACCTTGTAAGAAAGATCCTTAGGGATGTTTTATAAAGCTTCCACCCAGACATACACTGGGTGAATGCCATTTGCATGCCATTTCTGCCACTAGCTGGAGTTAAGGTGTTCCTCAGCTCTACTCAGTGCTGAGACTGTTGAATAAATGGCATTCACCCAGCATGTGGCTGGGTGTAAGCTTTATAAATCATCCCTAGTGTCACACAATTCATTATATTGCTTCTTATGTTATATTTTTGTGTTCTTATTTTGTATGTTTCCACTATGGTTGAACATCTATGGTAACTTTTGCACAACTAAACTTGGATTCAATTCCTGCAGGGATACTATCTGCAAGCAGTTCACATGCTCTCTTTGTATTTGTGTGGTGTTCCTTCCAGTTCTCTAGTTTCCTCCTAAAACCCACACAACTTGTCTATGGGATAACTGATTTCCAGTAAAACTGTTGCTGCTGTTTCTATCTTTGTGCATGACTTGTATAGGGATATTATCATGAAAGCTGTTTGGAGTGAAAAGTCTGATGCAAATGATCTTCATACTTTGTAAATTGCTACATATCTGGTTGCTTTTATATATAAATGCATAAAATAAGCAAATGTGATCCTGTTCTTTTCCAGGTAAAGGTTCGCCTGTTTTGTGGAGCATCTCACTGGGAGGAAATCGAAATTGGTTCTGCATCGGCATGCCAATGTGACATGTGTCGTCTGGCCCGATATTAACATCACCACACTGCTGGAAGAATCAGCCAACCATATATACAAAGGCTTACAGTAATTGCACTGTGCTTTGAAAACATTTAAACTGTGTGACCTTATGAGCAATATGCAATGATCAACCAGTGTGGTTAGTGCATAGCTACTTCACCCTAGATGTCATGGAAATTTACGTACAGTCTGGAGCGGGGAAAGGTGCATTCACTTTTTATTGATGCTCAAGGTAGAAATCAAGCCAGAACTTTTTTTAAATTTTAGATAGAGGGCTAAAGGTTGGAACTAGGGATGCACAAATACCATTTTTTCCAGACCGAGTACAAGTACAGATACTTTTCCTCAACTACTCACTGATACTAATTACCAATACCTCTTTTTAGTGTCATGTGACAGTTTGAAGAAAAAAAAATGCAGTGCTGGGTCTCACCAGGGCTGTGCGGGTCTAACCAGGGCTGTGCAGTCTCAGAAGGATGTGCGGAGTCTTAAAAGGGCTCTGTGCGATCTCTCCAGGCCTGCATGCGGGTCTCTTCAGGGCTGTATGCGGCTTCTCGCCAGGGCTGCATTTGCGTCTCACCAGGGCTGCGTTCGGGTCTCACCAAGGCTCTGTTCGAGTTTCACCAGGGCTGCGATCAGGTCTCGGCTGTATGAGCAGGTGTGGGGCTCTCCAGGGCTATATGGGCGAGTGTGGGGCTCTCCATGGCTGTATGGGAGGGTATGGGGCTCTCTAGGGCTGTGCCGGTCTCTGCGGCAGCGGGAAGGAGAAGTGCGGCTGGACTGGCGCTGTCAAAGACAGCTGCCTGAGGTCCCCAGAAACCGGGGGACCTCAAGCAGCTGAATCAATTTAAAATTTTAAAACGCTGGTTTCAGCGCTTAGTATCTGGGCATTTCACGAGTACAAGTACAAAATGCCCAGTATAGGCACTGATACCAATACTAGTTTCGGTGCATCCTTAGTTGGAATCTCTACCAGATTTGAATGCTTTCTGGGTGGATGGAGGGGAAAGATTCTCTTCACTACTTGCTCCTGGTGGCACCAGTCTCCGAGACAGGAACTGTCTAATGGAACTAATGGATACAGGAGATGCACCAGTGAGATGAAGTCTCCACAATGGGGACAAAACTAGAAATAGAAACTGAATAGGGGTTTTAGCCCTCCCTCACTCTATCCAGAACTAAAAGTTCTGACTTTTGCAGTAAGTGTTGCAGTATGAACAGGTCACATAGAAAACAAATGTTTTCTTTGTTTCCTGATGGTAACCTGTATTGTTCTTGTGCATAACAACGCAGGTCACTACACATAGTGTGAACAGGCCCTTACCCTTAAAGAGTTACAGTCAACCCCTAATTATTCCATTAATGTTTAGCAACCATAAAGAAAATACTGTATCTGATTATTTATGATACACCCCAGCTTTAAATTTCTGTTTGTTCATATCTAAAAGTTCCCATTGTATGCCCCTAATTTATAAGGCTTTTTAGTTATATTTATATAAAATATTATATGTAAATTGTAATTATGGGCAGGTTTGAAATTCAAGCATATGAATATATGCATTAGTTTATTTAATATTTATAATACATTTTGTATGATTTTGCATTCCTTTTCTAATAAATATGTAAGAAATGCTAAAAAGTAGTGTCTTTATTGGATTTATTGCTTTCCCAGCTATTCCCAGGAAAAAGTGTTGTTTATTTTAGCACCTTTGAAGGTGTGCATAGGTGTTCAGGACATCATCAACAATGGGCCCCTGTGCTAGAACAATATTTGGACCTCTTATTGAACTCTTATGCAAGTAGAAACATTTTTTCCTGTATGAAAAAAGAGTAACCTAAGCACAGTTAGAACAACTAAAAGAATAGCCCCTGCTTCTCACCTGTCCTAGAAGGGAGCAGATCTTTGTGGCAGCAGGAGGGGTGCCAGCATCTGCTTGACCAAATCTAGTATAAATAGGCCCCTAGATTCCAGAGGGCCTTTTACAGGCTACACGAATAGTCTGGGGTTGACTCACTAAGGGGCTAAAATGTTTACCAGTGTGCAGTGGTGTGAGTTAAAGCGCCCAGAATGGCACAGAAACTCATGTGGCGTTTTGGCTAAATCTGGATGTGATTTAAAGGGCAGGGCTAGATGAAGAGGTAGAAGTCAAGGTTCCCTCTTCAGCCTGGGGCTGCCCAGGCGACAGGTGGTGAGGCGGGTGTCAGAGAACTGTTTTGCAGCCTCCTCTGTGGTGATAGGTTCAAGAGGCGAAAGTATTACATGTGGTGGTGGTGGTACAGGATATGTTCATTTGAGAAGATAAATTGCAGCTTGTTTTTAAAATGATAGGCAATGTCCTTGCAGTAAATGAGTTAGAGGGTGGTGGTAGTGAGGGTGGTGGTAGTGGGTGACAAAGTAGAAGGTAGAAAATAATTGACAAGAAATGGATGAGAGGGTGTTAATGACAGTGACAAAATACGTTTGTTTAGCAGCACAGAGGGAATACGCAGCTAATTTTCTCTAGGATACTTCCTACAGTGCTCCATAACCATAAGCTACCCATAACCTCTTGTGCTGACTGCCCTTAGGACCTGCTTACCTACAGCATTGGTAGAGAGTGCAGTCAGCCCCCCAGGAAGCCCATGGTTTATATATGATAATTGTATTTGACAAAGTTGTGATTTTCTTTTTTTTTCTCAAAATAAATTTTTATTGGAAAATAAAATGTAACAATACAAAGGAGATAAGCTGTAATAGAATATGAGAGCCAGCATAGTATGTACAATAATAAGTAAAACAGATTGTAACATAAGTACATCATGGGATATAAAAAAATACAAATCCTCGAAGAAGTATTATTGCTATAGATTGTCAAAGGCATCATCAACTATAATGGTCAAAATGTACTCATGAATCATCAAATCCAAGGAGTATTGATAGGGTCTTCACAACGTCCAAGCAAAAATATGTAAGATTAAAGGAAGTCTTACACAGCTGGTGAGAAAAAATATTCTTATCTACTACAGTACTCTTCAATTTCAGGAGGACCTAGGATTCGTACTGACACATATGTGATGTTAGGAGGTACTGACAGATATACGATGTTAGGACAGATATACAAATATAGGAGGTATAGTAAAAATGGAACTCTCCATAGAAAAGAAAAAAGAGAGACAATAATGTGCAGAAAAAGAGATATACGAGTACAGAGGAAGGAAGAGAAAGTGAAGGGACAACAAGAAGGAAAGAGAAAGAAGAGGAAGAGAAGAAATAACAAAATAGAGAAACAGAGAAGTCTAGTCTGTGCGGGAAGGATGGATCCGGTTATAATTGGTGAGCTATGGTTAAATGATCCATCAAAGAGTATAAAGGCTAAGATGTAGGTCTGAGGGTAAATTATTTTTTTATCCATGGTGACCATATTTTTTCAAAATTATGCATGGTGTTGTTTAATTCAGCAATTCTTTTCTCTTGGGACAGTATTCAGTGAGCGTGACATTTGAGTGCTAAGGGAATGGGATTTCAAAGATTTGGCTATTGCCCTCTTTGCAGCTGTAAGAATATGAAGGGAAAGTTTTAAAAAAGCAGAGGGGATATCATCTGGCTTGTCATTAAGAAGAGCTATGGATGGTCCTTTGGGAATGGGTCTATCCAGGAGATTAGAAAGTAGATTCAAAATACTGCCCCAAAACGTCAACATTTTTCAGCACTGCCATCATATGCGAATGTATGAACCAGGAGCTGCGCAGCCCCTGAAACAAAGTGAAGAACATTGCGGAGCAAAGGAAGCCAATATAGTGGTTACCAAGTGCCAGTGCATTAAGACTTTGAAATTAATTTCTAGCATACCTGCACTTTGGGAACTGGATTTAGTGTTCAACCATGAAATAAGCCACATATCCATGTCGTTCGAAAGACCGAGGTCTCTTTCCTATTCGATTACATTGAATGGGGCAGTTGGCGGGGGTGAGCAAGGAAGAATATACTGTGGAGATAAGACCTGAAGTGTGAGGATTATCTCATATATCAACTCAAATGTGGAAAATTCCTTTCCAGATTCCAATTGTTTGACATGTGTGGAGATAAATGCTTTACTTTGGAGATAATGGAAAATCTCCCTATTAGGAAGATGATAATGGCCTTGGAAATACAAGAACATTTTTACCCCATCAGGGGTTTGGAATTTCCAAAAATTAGTTATTGCACGGTCAAACCAAGCTGTAAAGTTCTTTGGATAGGTATAAACTGGGAAGAATGAAGGGTTATGGAGGAAGGAAAGTAGTGGTAGGTTAGAAGAAAGTAGTCCTGTTGTAATTTTAACCAAGACCCAGATGTGAAGAGAATGAGCCGTAATGGGGTTGTTTATGGGTGGTCTATATCTGGGGGTGGGGGTGGGGGGGAGCCATAAAAGGTGCACGGGGTGAAGAAAGGATTCTTCGATAGTAACCCAGCGGGGTATTTCATATACAGCGTGATATTTGCTAAGCTGATCATTTTGAGCTGCTTGATAATACTTAGAGATTTGGGACTCCCAGGCCACCCCTGGATTTGTGTAAATAGAGGGTTCTTCTGGGGACCCTCGGATGACTCCCACCCCAAATAAAGCGAAAGACCTTTGATTGGAGAGATTGAAAAATAGAGGTTGGGACTGAAACTGGAAGCATACAGAACAAGTACAGCAGTTTGGATAAAAATGTCATTTTCACAGCCGCTATCCTACCTATCCAAGAAATATTGTATCTAGACCATGTTTCTGACATGCGAGTAAGTTTAGACACCATCGCAGGATAGTTAGCCCTAAGTTGTGATATTTTAATTTAGCAATGCTTTACGAACGATGTATTGGTGAAGATATACTTGCAAAGCTTTGGTCCTGAATCTCTGACCTGTATGTTAACTATGCAAGCACACATACACCTAGGGATAATCACTTGTTTATGATTGTCCACTTAACTAGGTCTGTTATATTAGTAAGACAATATAATTGTGTATGACAGCAACAAAGCTGAAATCTTTGAAGACATAAGCTGATAGATGGCCAAGTAGCAAGCACAAGATGGCGTGAGCAGG